GTAACAGGATAAGGATCAGAAATCTTCATTTCCAAATATAGGCGTCCTTGTTTCCTACTGAAAAAAAAGAAGCCAAAAGGAGAACCTGTATCACTGTGCAAGATATAAGCCTCCTTATTTGCCATGGAGTTGGTAAGAGTTCTTGAGAATGGAAACGCATGGAAAAGGTTAGAAAGCAATAAGCACTTTTTCCAAGAAGAAAGCTTTCAAAAGTCCCAAAAGAAACAAAACCATTAATACTAGCTTAAAATTACTTACAAAAGTAACAGGCTATCATTGAATTTTGGGATACAGTATTAGGTTTGGTTCCATACATCTAATGGGACTCCAGCTCCCATATTCATCCCACAGAGATGAATTAAGTTTCAAATAAAAGTTAACCTCAAGATAGAAAGGTGACTCAAGATAGGAGGTTTCCTGTTATTTTCTATTTAACAGAACACTCCAGGCAAAGACCTTTCTTTACTTGACCATTACTGCCTCACCTTCAACAGAATGAGAGGTACCCGGTTTCGTGACAAATCGAAGTAACATCTCTATGCAGTGCTGTCCATAAAGTCTTAAGATAACAGCATGCTATGAAGAGGAAGGCAACTACTCCCATTCCTAGAGGTACAGAAAAATACTTCGTCATAAAAGCATGTCAAACCAGAACCAGCCTTTCCACATCAATAATGAAAAATTCACTTTGAAAATACTCATTCTGTTAGAAAACCATTACAAAGAGTATTTTCACTGATGTTCCCTGCCCCATACTGAATATCAACCCATTGCAATAATAATCTGAAGGAAGAAAAAAACCCAAACTATAAAAAGTTACATTTGCACCTCTGAAAAGGATTGAAAGGAGATAAGACCTACTTGCTGGCAAAACAGAGCATTGTGCAGTCCATAGGAAGCAACAGTATTAGAAAAAATTCATAACTATTATCACCTTAGTTTTGATACAAAAGCTTTCTTCTCTCTACCTGTCCACTCAATCTCTGTGAAACCAGTAGAAATGTATAAAAAAATTTGTCATTTTTTGCACTGGTTGCTACGTCTATGCTTTCCCCCATTTTACAGGAAAAACAAACAGGCTAGAAGGATAGCATACTTTGAAGGGCTGGCAAACTTTCTTCTATTTCCTAAATCAGCACATCAGTTACATAAATTAGTGATACATACTGCCAGCTGACTATTTGAAAGAAAATACATATATATTTCCAGACCAGAAAAATTTTTTTCAGCAACAATCTTACTACTATTACCATCGGTTAAAAAATTTGTCACTTCCTCTTTGCAAGTCCTGTAATTACTTTAACACATTTTACCCCATTCTTTTGCCATTATGTTTTAGACTGCTCAGTGATTTTGTGCTCTCATGTTATCTTTTTCTCATTTTCTCAGAAAAAAAAGTGCAACTTATTCAGATATTTAGGAAACAATACATTTATTAGGATTTTTTTATAGCAAGACTTTCACCACTTTCCTCAAGAACACTGCTAGAAAGGTATGTCAATCAACAATATTCTGAAACTTTTGTCTCCCTGACAAATGGGAACACTAGTAACCAGTAGAAAAAAGATTTGTGAGCTGACAGGCTCATATCTTCTCAGTATCTAGCGGACTACAGTGAAGCGCTCCTTTGGAAATTTGGAGCACCTCAGCTCCCACAGCTGGAAAGGAAAAAACCCAACAGATTAAGAAAGGAGAGAAATCAAGCCGGGATGGGATAGATGGATATAGGGAGAGGTTACGAGCTAGCTTAAACATGCACATAGCCTCTGGGCCACAGGACACCAGCTGCAACAGCTTTTGGGATGCATAAGGTAAAACACCTGACAACTCTTTGCCTTCAGAGCCCCCTCTGCCTGCCAGAGAATACCCCACCACCTGCTAAAGCCAATAGCTTAGTTCCTACAACAGACTCCTCTTGCCTGATACCTCAGGTTAGCCACAGGGCTCCCAACTGGAAGACAGTTATGGGTTGATGCTCAAAGACTACCTCATTTTATTTCACATGCTAGATTCAATGAAGATAATTGCATCCAAGGAGTGTTTAAAAAAAAACCAAAACCAAACACCAAACATTATGCTTCTACCTAGTCTTTCTGGCAGCTTTGTAATAGAGAATATCTACATTGGAAACCCTGCCCTGGACCCTTGACTCCTTGTCATCTGTCCTACCCAGTTCCTTTGATGTAGCAATGTCCATTTGGTGTTAGGGAAGATGCTCTTCAGAGCAAAATACTTCTAAATAGGTCAGCTACACACCACTTTCACCAAGTGATTATCTAAAAGGGAGAGAGGGGGAATGGGTTTTGATACTTCATCCTCAACTTTCCTAAGCAAGAGGTGACAGAACAACTTGGCTTTACAGCTGTCTTGCCTGCCGGGAACTTGACAGAAGCCTTACGGTTCACTTGGTGAAAGCAACTGGCCAACTACCAGAAAGTTTAGTGGGCTGAGTTAAAACAATGTGACCTAGAAAGGTAACCTCCCATTCCATGCAAGTAAATGGATTTTAAAGATTTCTGTTTGAATGGAGCTATTCCAGGTGATGTCTTTGCAGAGCAGATGATGCTTCCTCTGACATTTGTAATGATACTTTTTGGATAGGAAACACTACTTCAGAACAGCTGATCCAGTTCCGTTTCAGACTTTTTAAAATGTTAAGGGAGACTATGAAAAATAGATAGTTTTAATCTCCTGCTTTTAAGTCCCTCTGATACAGCCTCTGACTGGGCTTTCCTTGAGTTTGCTTCTATAGCACAATCTAAATTAACCATCTGTTTGGGTGAGTTTTGCCTTTTTTTTAGTCTCTGGAGCGCAAACTGAGTTTTCAGAAATGGAAAGCAAAAGGATGAGTGCTTAAGAAATCAATAACGCTAAAGGTCTACTTTTACATTTCTGACACTTTTGGTAAGTTTTCTTTTTAAAGTATCTTAGCCCCACATCAGAATACCTTGCCTACACAGTCAACAGTCTATCCAGCTTCAGCAGCTAGTGTAGCATCATTAAGGCTAGGTCTGGAGTATTCAATGGGGAAGGCAGCAAAAAGTAATTCTGCCATTTAGCACATTTCATGGAATGTGATAAACAAGAAATGCGTGACCTTTCTACATGAAAACATACTGTAATTGCTTGAAAAAAAAAAGGGTGCACTTGACTAATGGCAACATGCTGGTTTTAGCCCTCAAACAGAATTAAAAAAACCTTAAGTACAGTACTTCCCCACACATGCTGGTTTTTAACATCAGCTTACAAACATCTAAACACACAGGTTCTCTGTGCTGACAGCTGCAAGAAAGTATTCAGCTACACTGCCTTCACAACAGGACTGGACTGCCCTAACAGGTTGAGCACTGCATTGGCAGCACTGTCAAATCAGTTATTTGCACCCAAATGGTCAGTAGATTAGCAAAATGAGCACAGATCCGTACAAAAAGAGTGAACAGATATGCTGTACCCTGCATTAGAACAGACTACCCTATTACACTCATATAAAGGCCACATCCCTTATTTATAATGCCAAAACTGGGGAAGAGTGAAGCTCTCATTAAAGCCAATAAGATACACCTGCAGAGGCACAGACACACTCACAGTCTCTGTAGGGACAACCGTGAGCATAGGCACACCCTATTTGTGTGACTTCCTCCTTCAAGACAGGGGTCTGTTCTTGCTCCAGAGTTAGGAGTTTTTACATATTTGAACAAGAATAAAGTTTTACATGCCTATAGTGCCTTTCACTCAAAGATCTCAAGGACTTTATACCTATTACATATGTCCCAACCCCTCCCCCCTGTGAGGTAGGTATTATTCCTATTATTTACAGATGGGGAAATTCAGGCACAGAGGTTACATTATTTGCCCAAGGTCACACAGTGAGTCAGTGACAAAATAAAACAGAATCCAGATGTTCTGATTCCTGTTTGCACAATCCAACTAATAACAAGCCTCAATTTCAAAAGAGCCTTAAACAAGTATCAGCGTGCATACGAACAGTCTTGGGTTTCAAGGGCCACTCCTAAAAAGCGTAAGAAAGGAAGAAAAACAGGAATGAAAAAAAAAGAGTGAGGGGACACATAACTTACTTCTGCAAGCCAACACAGCTTTAAAGAAAGAGTTCCTACTAATTCCCTTCCCAAAGCTGAGGCAGCTTGACTACGAGCCTGGGATACAAGGGGTGGGAAAAGGAGGCTGATGTAACCAAAGTGTGAAATAAAAAGGCAAGCTAGAGTAAACAGCCATACCATAAACCTTCATCTTTTTGAAAGCACAGGGTCATAGAAAAATAGGGCTGAGAGGGACCTCAAGAGATCACTGAAGTCCATCTAACCTGCCTTGAAGCCAGGATCAACTACGCCTACACGTTCCCAGCAGTCTAGTTAGTCTGTTCTCAAAGACCTCCATCAGTGGAGATGCCATGCCCTTCCTCTGCAATCTGTTCCACCTTGCACTATGAGATGAGCAAAAGAGGACAAGCGAGTCTAATATAGCTACTTCTGCTCCTTCAGTGGGGGTACCATGATTCCCAGGCCTATCTAATGATCTGAATACATTTCAGAGAAGGTAGTTTCCAGATATTTACTTGTTTCTGTCCTGGATTCCTTGGGAAAACATCAAACACTGGTGTCTGCTGTAGTGTAATATTTGAGTTTTGAAAATACTGATTAATACCAGGATAGATACCAATATACTTACTGCAAGTGCCAAATCCTACAAGGTCAGTAACAAAGACTTTGATATGATAATTTTAGCTCATTGCAGATTCAAACTGCAATAAGAGGGCAGGGAAGACTACAGAAAAACCCCACGGCAAAAGTCAGCAGCTTGGAGTTGCCAAGTTTCATCCAACTGCAGACAAAAATCAGGCAGTCGAACAACACATCTTCAGCAGAGGCAGCACCATATGATCTCTGTAGCATCCCTCCATCTAATCTGTCTTCAAAGTGCATTCTCAGTGCAAAAAGTAGGATTGAATTTAGAGGGGCTCACTGTCCCCAGTGGATTTCATACTATGACCAGAATTCTTGCTTGAGTTCATATGCTGCAGCTTTGTGTGTGTTAAGTTCACTTCTGCATAGCGGAATGGTGCTGTCCTGGCTCTGCCCCTCAGCATCTATGTCCAACAGTGTCCGTTCCTCTACAGGAAGACCCACCTGGAAAGGAAGCAGTGCAGGCAGTCCAGGTCTCTCTTCTACAGTGCTGCTGCTACTAGCAAAACAAGAGTCCAGATTGCTTGGAGTATCAGTACTTGAACTGTTGGCAGAAGATTCACCCTTGGCGTTGCTGGGTGACACAAACCACCAGGGATCAAGCCGCTGCCGACTGGCTGCAGGACGTGGCCGGGGCAGGAACTCCAATGTCTTGGGTCTTTCCAGTGTGGGGTCCTGCTGTGTATTCCATCGTCTCGGGGTTGGAGGAAAAACAAGGTTGGGGTCTGGCAGGCGAGGGACCTCATTGGGATCTCTACTTGGACTAGGTGTTTTTAATACACCTATCCAAAACAGAGAATGTAAGAGAAGAGGGAAACATGTTAGATGTCACTGCTAAATGGTTCCAACAGATCTTAGTTTATTGTATGCACACTGTGAAAACATTTTCAAAGCAGAAAGCCTCCATTCAGATTCTACAAACACTGTATCTTCAAGATTACACCAATCTGAAGTGAATAACTGGCTTCTTTATCCCTACACTGTTCTCAACACATTGCAAGACACCTGTTTCACTGCCCTAGCACAAGCAGCAAGTTTTGTTCATTCTCTCATTTGCTTTCTTCAGTTTTCAGACTGGAGAGCATGGATTTGACATCCTACCAGAGGTGAGGACTCTCCAAATCCTTCAGAGGGCACATTACCCATTAACAGCTTGAATGGATCAGGGAGACACTTGCACAGCAGGATGTGTGACACCTGTTTGCAGCGAGCAGGACCAACTTCCTGGAAGAGCCATTTAACACTACCTACTGTGGACGCTTCCTGGTTTGGTTTTGTTTAGGGGTGGGGGATGGTGTTTGGGTGTTTTGGTTTGTTTTTTTATAAACACAACATAACTTTTAAATTTTCATGAATACCATTTTAATGAGTATTCTCAGCTGCATTAACCCACATTTTACTGCAGGCTGCCATTCAACAGACAACCTCACATTTTGTTTTTACCATTGGGGAAAGACTAATTAAATCAGATTTTAATTTGTTATTCTAGTCCTTTTTTTTCTCTGAATTACTAGGGCAAGAAAACAGGAAAGCATTTTTTAAGTTATCAAGTCACAGCCACTCCTAAAGACTGCAACAGTGAGAACACTACCTACCCAGGAAGGTCCCTCTTGCTTGCAAAGGAGTAAGAGCAACAGTGGCACAGCCCCAAACTGCTTTAGAGATCCAGTTTTCACTGCCTTAAAGATCAGAATTTACTTTGAAATTGTAACAGCAATACAAACAAGTGTATAATGGCAATGGAGATGGAATCCCGAGGAAGTGCTAAAAATGCGCAATATTTGTACTTTGGTACCATCTTTGTCTAAGAAACAATACTACACTCTGCCTCGCAGCACCAGGGAGCAGAGAGAGTTCCTTAGCGCAGAGATGCTGGAATAGAGACCTTTACTGCATTATTCTGTTCATTATTTGTGTAAAGATAGCATCCATAAGCTCTCTTGTGGGCTGACCACCACAATGGATGCTGTATAAGCAACATGTTTACTTCCTAACAAGTAATTATAGTGTTTGGGTCTTTATTCTGGAGAGGAAAAGGAAGATGGCTGAAAACCTACCTGCTCCCAGTGCTCCAGTTAAACAGCTACTGGAAGGGCATCCACTGGTTGGGCACCCATTGACAACTAGTCCACTCCCTTTGATGGCACCATCAGAAGGTGTGCGCCTGTGCCCGCTTTGCTGGGTGTGGGAAGAGACCGTCACATGTGTGGGAGTCAGGGACTGGTTGGGGTCTTGTTTGAACCTCTCGATCTGGACATTGACTAGTGGGTTGGTAATGGCTGGCAAGGGAGCCTTGACTGTCACTGGGCTGACAGGCATTTCATACACCACAATCTCATCGCTGTCTGAGCGCAGCAGGGACCGAGTGGAATTACATTCGGAAATGGAAGACAGGGAAAGAAGGGTGAGGGATGTGGATGGCTCGCCTAGCAACAACATGGGATCCTCTTTCTTGAAGATCTTTCGGGAAGGTGGACTAGTGCTTCTGCGTGGGCGTCCAGCTCTCTGGAAAATGCTGTCACGCTTCTTCTTCTCTTCCTTGGGTGCCTCTGGCTCCTCCTCAATCAGCAGCTGACACTTCCCTGCTTCTAACAGATCAAAACCCAGGCCTGCAGCAGCCAGCACTGCTCCACAGCCAAGCAATGCAACCTCACATCGCTTGTGGTGGGAGCCACTACGTTTGAGGCTGTTAGTGGGTGTCAGCTGTGGGGTACTAGTAGCAGAGTTCACAGGGGTGGACTCCTCATTGGCATCACTAGAAGGGCCATCCCAGTCTTCATTCTTCTGAAATGGGATGCAGAGGTACGACTGATTGTGCCCAGGTGAAGGGTGCGCTTTGCCCTCCCCATTAAGACATTCGCTGTCTTCATCATCTAGAAAGCAAATGTAAACAGACTTTGCATGGATGTAACGTTTTCACTGGCAAATTTCACCATCTTACAAATATACATGAAAATAAGCTTCTCCTCAGAAGATGCAACTGTCCTCATCGCAAGCATCATTCACCAACAGCCAAATATTCACAGGCTATTGTCTCCAAAGCAGATAGGCTGAGATAAGTAACAAGACAAACACTATCAAAGTGGAAGAAATTAGTGACACATTAATCTATTTGGGATCAACTGCAGAACAGCATTTCAGAAGCAATCTGTACCTCTGTCCTGGTTTCGGCTGGGGCAGAGTTAATTTCCTTCCTAGTAGCTGGTACAGTGCTGTGTTTTGGATTTAGGATGAGAACAATGTTGATAACACACCGATGTTTTAGTTGTTGCGAAGTAGTGCTTACACTAGTCAAGGACTTTTCAGCTTCTCATGCTCTACCAACTGAAGAGGCTGGAGGTGCACAAGAAGCTGGGAGGGGGCACAGCCAGGACAGCTGACCCAAACTGGCCTAAGGGACATTCCATACCATGTGACGTCATGCTCAGTATATAAGCTGGGGGGAGTTGGCCGGGGGGCAGTGATCACTGCTTGGAGACTGGCTGGGTGTCGGTCGGCAAGCAGTTGCATCACCTCTTGGTTTTTTGGGGGGTTGGGTTTTTTTGTTTTTTTTTTTTTTCCTTCCTAGGTTTTGTTCCCCTCTCTCTCTCATTGTTTTACTTTCTATTACAATTT